GCGCATATACTTTCTTGCCACTTTGTTTTCCACACCATTTGAAAAAGTATCCATTTATTTCCTTTCCTTATCTCCCACTCCAGAATGTGGCTAGCGTGAGGTCAGTCCTTTGCTATTGTACCTCCTTAGTTTTTACCTTGTAATGTGTCCACATTAGAATAATTAAATTTTCTTTATAAGATTAATGTGACTCTTATCATCTTTAAGCATATTACTAAATGCACAAAATAAGATGGTTAACCTTAATATGACTTTTTCTTTCAGTCTTTTTCTTGAACCTAAATGAATGCTAATATATTTTCTGCAAAAATCTAAATTGTTATATGTCCTCACTGGGTATATCAAATGTTTTATGTGCTTATAGGGTATATAGAATGCTATATAAAATGTAAATATTCCTTCTTGCTTTACAAAGGTGGGTCCCTTTGGAGTGATTACTGTCTGAAACTAACCTATGTTCCCGCGTACCCCCCAAGAATAATACAATTTTAGAACTTTCTAAATACCAATTATTAAAAATGCTAAATAAGACTGACTGGGTAGTCAGTAATTGAGTCGAGAATTTTGCAATGTGGCCACAGAGAGCAACAAAAAGAGTTTTAGTAGCGTGAGGAATAGTTTTACTCTCAGTCAAGTTTGTATTACTACCCAAGTGTTTACATATATGAAAGATGAGTTTTGGCTGTATTTAACATTTATGTGACTTCAGAATATATAATTCCAAATATTATTGTATACAATAGTAAATAGTTCAGGTTCTGTATGGTGTTTATCATAGGTATCATAGAGATATGGCTAGGGCAATTAAAGGACATACAGTATAACATATTTAATCACTGCCTTGTAGGTTAATGCCAATAATTTTATCCACTACATTTAGATTTGATTTTGACTGTTTTATTAAAACCCAAATTGTCCCATTAACATATTTCAAGTTATTTATTTTACATAAGATAATAAACTCTTCTGAATGAACCAATTTTGGAATTAGCAGCTCCCCAGTCAGAGTACCTCTTGTACTCTCCAGGTCTCAAATAGTATTGGCGACCTCTGTAGTTGGGCTCCTCGTATAACATCCAATGGCCATCAAGGACCTGGCATGAATTGATATCATGATACCGGAATCTATCATAGACATGCGGACAATCTTCATTGAATTCCATCATGTGGCCTTGAAAGTCTCCTCTTTCATAGATTTTCACTTTAAATGGACCACGGTGCTACAAAAAGACATCATTAAAAAAAAGTTTGAGCATGAAAAGTACTGAATTATTTTTAATTAAACGCCAAAGATCCAGTGAGAAAGGATACTTATCTATAGAACACTAAACCACAAGTTTGCTTTTTTGTGTGTTTGTGCCCCCCCCCCCCCCCTTAGCCTCCAATTACAAATCGCAGGAGGAAAATAGTAATGGCATTGAAAGTAAAACAACTTACTGGCTTCCCCTAGGCAAGGGCGATATTACTGGGTCTTATGATGAGGAAAATAGAGGATTCCATACCCCACAAGAATGTGCTTTGCACAGTCCTGTAATGTCTTCTTGCAAGATTTTGGATCCTGAATTTCCCATGAACTTGCTGTGAAGCCCAGTGATGTTGGCTATGGGAAGTGGCTGCAACCTGGGGAATAAAATTGTTTTTTTTGTTTTCATTTTTTTACTGCTTTACTTTGGTGTTTCCTCCTCAGGGGTGGGTGGATGCCATATAAGTGGACCTTGTGTTTTAGTGCAAGGTCCGCTTTAAAATTTTAAAACCTCCATTGAGGACTGATATGTGTACTGACATACGGTAAAGCTTTAAACTTTTTTTGTTACTATTCTTTTAGTTTGATAGGGATACTAAGTCCCTACAAAGGTAGATAGTGGAAAAAATGATGGAACAATAACCATCCAATACTAAACTATGGAAGTTAAAAATATATAAGCTTACATGCTATACATGTGGCATCTTCCCTTTTTATTAGTAACCGTATCTATCTGTCTATCTATACTTACAAGGGGAGCCAACCGGCAAGATTTAATGGAATCATTGAATCCCATCCATTTCTGGAAATCAGGATATTCTCCCTTCCAAAGGTAGTACTGGTAACCTCTGTAATTGGAGTGTTCATAGAGGATCCAGTTTCCACTGTCAACACGGATGGAGTTGCATCGGTTAAAATATGTGGTCATATCGACACAATCTGTGCTGCATTCATAGCAGCGACCTTGAAAGTTCCTGTCTTCGTAGAAGAAGATCTGCAAAGATGTAATAAAGAATTTTGTTGTAGCTTTTTTTAAAGCGTTTCTATTGATAGCCATCAAACAGATGTAAATATATACATTACATCAAAATAAACAGTTATAATATATCGATGACATATTTAATCATAATCAATCTTAAATCTTATTCATATAAATAATAGCTGCTGAAGTCTTTAGCTAAAAGTCAGTCAGGGTTCATGTCGATGGGCATTCTTGTCAAACCCAGTCATTTCCATTCCAACATATCTGCATGCATTCAAATTTAATATGCTGTGCTTGTCAAACAAATGATGCATTTGACCTGCTTTTCCCGCAATTCAATTGCACCTCAGTAAGACCTGCTGAGCCCAAAGAAATACAACGTAACTCAAAGTAAATCAAATGCAGCTTCTGAAATGTGGTGTACTTCTCTGTTAAATACCAATCTGTCAATAGCAATTTGCTGACCTGTGCTGGATGTGCATTTCATACACACATCTAATGCAGGAAAACACCCATGAATGTAAGCACTAACTAATTTAGTTAATAAATATACCTTGCAATACAAATCTGTGTTTTTGATCCTGATGACATCACATTCTATAATAATAGTATGCCACCTGCTGGTTTGGAATGCATATTATTCTACATAAGTAAGTATGTATAGTTTTATGATAAGGACAGTAGTGATTTCATTTTGTGACTTTGTAAAAGAATGTATAATATTGTTCTAGCAAAACTATTGTAAGCGCATCCTTACCTTTCCCATTGTAAAGTGTAAGAGTAGAGATGCAATCAGTCACTGCAGTAAGATCATCAACTGCACATATATATATATAGTGCTGCATACGTTGGGAGTAGGACTTTTTCTGTCTAGTAAGGAGAATGTATAGATCTTTTTCATTGTTTTGTTTGAGTGTGTGATTATTTGAATGTTACAATTGTCAGTCTATGCTTACATGCACGTTCATACCACAGCCATGGCTACAGAATACAGTTACAGCACAATTGTTTCAGTTCTGAATAAACCTATTCTTTTAGAATATAAATGGGATGTATGCTTGCACAAAAGAAACCATAAAGAACATTACATTAAACATTTCAGTGTGATCAGCTAAACACAACCCTAAGCAAGTACTGTACTTTGTTGAATAATTTTAAATCAAATCTATTTGAAACATTTTGTTTCCAGAGCAAACATGTCTACCCTGGTTTCAGGAGTTTATGTAAAATATATATTTATTGGGGCTTAATTACCAGTTAGATTCAGTGAAAATTTCAGGGGTTTTTTATAGCAGATAAAAACTCTAGACAATAAAATGAACTACATTGACAATAATCAATAATACATACATAGCTTGTTAATATTATTAAAATAAAATTCCAGAAATACCAAAGTCATACCAGGCCCTTTCAGTCTGGTAGGAGTTTTAAGGGGGTACTCTAAGCCACTAAGCAACAGAAACCACACTAGCCTGCTTTATTCTACTGCCAAAAAAGAAGAAAAGGGAGGGCCAAATAGCCAAACAGTGACTGAAACGGAAAATCTGTTATAGGAGAATGCACACTCTATGTAAATATTGGTGTCTTCCGGAAAAGACCACCAACATGTAACTGTCCCTGATGACACTTTGAAAATGCCTCCCTAACCTGCCGTAACACTTCAAAATAAACTTTGTGAATGTGTCCATTAGCTATTAGCTATTAGAACTAGCTTATAACTGTCAATGCTAAAATTGTCAAATATTTCCCTAATCTACTAGGCAGCCTTACAACACACTGTTTGTGTGCCTGGAACTGCATGTAAACATAGAGAGACTTTTTTTCAGCTATGAGCACTGAGCACCAGCAGGAACATCTAATATCCCCTGCCAACTGTGATCTTTTACTAACTACTCCATATCTGTTGCAACACTCAGTGAACACTCTCTTGGGAACCTTTATAATGACGGAGTGGTCACATTGGCAAAAAAACATGATTGATAGACATGTGCATTCGGATTCGGACGAATCTGCAAATCAACTAAGTTCAGTTGATACGGCAATTCGTCCAAATCTGAAATAACAATTTTATTATATGCCCGAATATATTAAAACTATATTCGGGCATACATACATTTGTTTGCAGAATCTTTGCGCCACCATCTTTGAGTATATCTTGGTATACACCAAGATGGCGGTGCCTGAACATACGGGCGCTGCAATCTTGGTGTATATCAAAATACACTCAAAGATGGCAGCGCACAAACGCAGAACGTGCCGGCAGCCGACATGGCCACCGTTCGCTCTGCATTTTCTGTGCGACATCACAGGCTGAACGAGCGGTCCTGCACAAGAGCACCGCCATCTTTGAGTATATCTTGGTGTATACCAAGATACACTCAAAGATGGTGGCGCGCAAGTGCAGAACGAGTCGGCGGCCGATATGGCCACTGCTCGTTCTGCATTTTCAGTGTGCAGTTTCGGATTCAGAGGCTTGTTTTCTTTGATAAAACAAATGGAAATGTTTTCCGTTTCCATTCATTTTTGTCAGAAAACAAATGTGTATGCTGTGCACATGTCTAACAATTGACCGTTCCAAGGCACCTGGTCATAGTTCAGATGCCAGAATTGGTAATGGCTACTATAGTGGTGAACAATTGCATTAGTGTGCTTTTTTGTGAATTGTAAACAGCTAGAGTTCATGGTTGAGCCGAACTCAAAGCTCATCCCTACATACAATAAATGTAGGCCATACCATGCATATGACTCTGATCTAAAGTGCTAATATACCACAAATACCAAATCCTCCAATATCACCATCCCTCAGCCAAGGTTTAAAAACAATCTTTTTTATTTTCTTTACTTGCTTTCCTCTTTCTCCACGTGGGCATATAGCACCACTTTCTCTTCTAATGCTGCTCATTTGCCCTTTTCCTCATCCTCCTCCTCAAAGGAGCAGAGCAGTCACTTTTTCTTATAGTGCTGCTCATGCGCCCTTTTCCTCCTCCTTCTCAGGGGGCCTTGATGAGGCAGTGTGGCTTCCACATATTTTCAAAAGTTGTGCAACTAAAACCACTTTTTTTAACCCACTGTTTTTGCAAACTAGCTGGTAAGTGTGCTCGGAAACATTTTGCATTTGTATTGTGTAAAGCCCTTCCATGTGCACTTTACTTTAAAGCTCTTTATGAATTGATGAGTGTTTATGCCATTTGTATTGATAACAGCATGCAGACTCCTCAGATCACTGGCTTGTGGGCTTCCCATAATGTGGTGGGTGAAAGTTCAGGGGAGGTATTAAATTGTATGTATTCTGTGAGTGCCAATCTTAGATCAGTACAAAAGGATTAATTGGACAGAAGGGAATCATTTATTACCATGTATGGTCAGTGGTTCGAGGGATTATGGAGGAAAGAGAACCAGGTCTTACTTATGGTCAGACCAAGGTACTGGTCATAGTTGAGTGTCACTGAGAAGGTGCAGGGATGTGTAAGACATACACACATGGTCAATTCTGCAATAGAGGTTGTGAGGAGAGGAATAGAAGGAATATTCACTGCAGGTGGGATTACAATCCCTCCAGATATAATTTGGGAGCAGAATGCTGCAGACGGCTTGTTGTCCATAGTGGTGAGAAGATATTTATCCAAACCTGGATAGACTATGTGGTTCGAGTCCCCACACATAATGAGGGTACCCCTCTTATGTTGGTCTACAATTTGGAAAAGGTGTGCAAGAAAGGAGATCTAGGAGGCATTCTGGGCATAATAAGACACTACAGTGACATCAACGCCCTGGAGAAATCCCACCAAAAGCAAATATCCCCCCTCTGGGTCATTCATTTAGGTAGAAAGGGTGAATGGGCCTCTGCGAAATCCAACACTCCCCACTTCTTGACAGGGGTGCATGAAAGAAACACATGAGGATATTGTGGACTGAAATGTTTAGGGCTGCAAAATTAATTTCCTGGAGACAAAGAACAGCCAACTTTCACAAGCTTATGTGGTGAATTGAGTCCCTTAACATTAAAGGGACAAAATGTGGAGTGGAGCCATTATAAAGAACCAGAGGAAAGACTACTAAAAGTGCTCTACACTCGGGAGAAGATGGGAGCCACGGGAAGATGGGAGATAAGAGGGAAGAGAAGATACAGGCTTTAGTTTCATGCATTATGCAAGGTGGGAGAAGCTGGAAGATGGTATGTTATGTTAGACAGCCAGATTATCTCCAATCATTCAAAGCCTTTACCCAGTAACTACAAACCAGTTTAACATTTACTTCTTAGGAAGCTATATTCAAAGTCTATATAAAAAAGTGCATGCAAGAGTGTCTGCTAAAATATAATATCATGGGCAATAGCCAGTTAGGAAACACAGAGGTGTCGAACAAATCTACTATATTTTTTTCAATTATGTAACCGAACATTTAGACAAATAGGTGGCTCTAGAAATAGTACATGTAGATTTTGCTAAAGCATTTGACATCATTCCCCAATGATGGCTAATGTTTATGTTATGATGACTAGACATAGAAAATCTGTAAATGGAAAGGCAGCTGTCTTAAATACCACATTTAGAGCATTGTGATTAATGTTTCATACTCTGAATGGACTACATTTGTGTTGGATGCACACCAAAGGTTTAGTTTTTAGACTTGAGGACATAGGTGTCTCCCAAACTCTCCCAAACCAGAAAGGCAGCTTTATCCAGGGGAGCACTTGCCTCATCTCAGGCCACACCCTGCTAAAGCACTGAGGAAAAAGATGGCATTCATGTTTGGTTGGCAGCACAGAATACAGATATTCTTTGCTTCTGTTTGAGGACTTCCGGCAAAATGGCTCTTGATAGTACAAACATCACTAAATTTACTTTGCAGAAGAAAGTACACTGCACTAACGTGTCAAACTTTATTAAAAATTCATCTTTAATTTTGTCAGTGTTCCTCCTGAAGAGAATTCCAATAACTTCCTCTCATGTATTAAAGTAAATGTCTTCAATAAGAACACAGATGGCAATAAATCTCATAAAAATAGATTCTAACCCCTTCCCCCTCTATCCAAAACAAAATGAAACGTTTTGACTGCAGCAGTGCTTTAGCTATGTGATCATTCCTATTAATCCTAAAGCCCAATTCCAGTTTCAATTAATAAAAATAACTGTTTCCTTATCAACTGTTGAAACAAAGAAAGGAAAAGAACAAAAACTGCTTTAACTGCAATACTCCTCTTCCAGGTTGAATGTCCAGCGTCAATCAAGTCACTCCCTGTGAGCCTAGGATGTTATGGAGACTTCCCCTGTGGATGCGTCATCACCAAAAAAACCCAATCATCATGCGACCAGTCAAACCAGAACTCTGGCACTTAGAATTTTTAGAACACAGCAGGAGATTCATCCATCCACACTGTTATATTTCTTTAATTTAGACTGCAGGCTGAATAAAACAAATATAAAAGTGTATGCCCTACATAATGTGCTTATGCAGGAAATGCTTGAATGTATAACTGCATATTTGGTGAAGTAACATTTATTTGTTAACTCCCCACCTGCTTCCAGCCCACCTTTCCAGTCATTTACTCACTTTTTGTTAGAAAACAATTAATTAAAAAATTGGTTTCAGACGAAACAAATGATAATTAAATACATTGTCATTCGTATCTGCGCATGCGTACCACCATTTTGGAGTATATCTTGGTATATACCAAGATGGCGGCAACCGAATATGTGGGCGCCACCATCTTGGTGTATACCAAGATATACTACAAAATGGTGGCGCGCTTGCGCAGAACACGGTAGCGGTCGATCTATGAATAACGTCACCCATGACGTGGCATCATGGTTATTTTGGACTCGGACGAACCGCCGAATCAACTGAATTTTGTTGATTTGCAGGTTCGTGCACATGTCTCCTTTTTGTTAAACTCAAACTTAATAGCAAAGCTACATGTCAAAATGTTCCAGTCCGGACCTGTGCATGCACCCTGCACACTCATTTATTCCTATGGACTTCAGCGTACAAGCTCGTACTCACAGATCCATAGGAATGGAGTGCAGATTAGGGTGCTTATATTACGTGTGATTGCAGTGGACAAAAGTATATACAGTAAACTGCCTATTATCAGCATTGAAGCAACCATCACTCTCAAGCAACCGGAACTCTCAAGCAAACGGCAAAAGAAAGCGATGACATAATATGGCCTCAATTATTTTTTTGCTGGTGGCTTGATGCACATAAAAAAATTGCTGGTTGCTTTGTGCGGCTAGATTTCACGGTCGGCAGCAGAAAGTAAACAACGAGGAGCAATAGCCAGCCTGCTATTGGTTATTTAAAATTACAATAGACAATAGCAGGCTGGCTATTGCACCTACCCACTGAGCAGAAGAAACTATAGTTTTTCAGCATCTAATGATCCCCGTGGGTGCCGGATAACTAGGAGTTTACTCTATGAGATTAGTTTGCCATACTTAGCTCTTACATACTTCTTTTTTTTTGTAGGGGTTTTGTTTAATTATTCTACAAAGAACATTAAAACTTATAAACCCAGTAATGTATCTGTAAACTGAGATGCTACATTTTTTAGGCATATAAGTAAAACTGTATATAACAGCATTTTTTTTTTTGCTGGCTTTAACTATAATTTAATATGTCAAATGTTTCTTATAAAACTTCATTATTGTTCACAAAGAGCATTAAGCTTAAAAGATGTAAAAGTGTGAAAACAGAAACTTCAGTTTTGCTACTAAAATATGGATTGATTTCACTTAACAATTAGAGTAAAATGGTGATAAAAGCTTATGCAATTTTTATTTTATTTGTATTAACAGTTAAAACAGCATATTCAAAAAGAAAAGAAACCGCTGACTGGACAGTAAAATGTTTTTGTTCTATGTATTTGTTTAGGTCCAGCTTTACAATACAGGTGAAAGCAAATACACTACAACAATAACCACACACAGTGACGGAACAATGTGACCTTTACATAATACTCGATAAAAAAGAGCTGTGCATTCTGCTTACTGAGTAAAAAGTCAGCTTTATTTTCAATGTATGCAAAACAGGGTGCATATAAAGGAAGGATTCTCCCATTCTAACATCAGCACATAGACTGTGGCTTGAGTGACTAAAGATACATTAAAAATGGGAAAGGTAAGACAAAACAATTTTTGAAATATTAGCATATAACACTTAAATGTTAAAAATCAATACATCCTTTGTATGTAAATTCAAATACCTGTCCTTTTCAACTATTAATGTAGACACCTTTGGGTAGATATATTGAAGACAGTGTTTAATTTTGGTACCTTTAAAACATACCCTTAAAAGGCAGCAAATTAATCTGACAGCACTTATTTAGCATTTCTGCCAATTTAATTTAGGATTCCATCATGAGTCACAGAGTCATGGTTATGGGTAAACTACTAAAGAACCAGTCTGCTCGAAAGAGATATTTTCATTTTATAGGGAGTTGGTGGGCAAAGTCATCCCCTAGCTTCTTTTTTTCATTTGCTATGCCAACAGTAAGATCCTTTGGTCATATTTTACAACTGTGCTCTTGTCCACCTCAAGGTTTTGTGTGTTCCATATACCTTTGTATGTGTGCAGAGCTAAAGATTCAAAGGCAGATATATCACCAAGCTACGAAAAAAAATCACAAAAAGTGTAAATCAATTGTATTTCATTCCACAGATCATCTTTTATGAGGACAAAAACTTCCAGGGTCGCTCCTATGAGTGTAACTCTGAATGCCCAGACCTGTCCTCATACTTCAGACGCTGCAACTCCATCCGTGTGGAAAGTGGAAACTGGATCCTGTATGAACATCCCAGCTACAGAGGACACCAGTACTTTCTTCACAGGGGAGAATATCCTGACTTTCAACAATGGATGGGCTACAATGACTCCATTAAATCTTGTCGTCTGAGCCCCCAGGTAACTATGTGCATGTCACTTTAAAAACCACGCTCATGCTAACTTTTTTGAAAAGTATAAATGTGCCAAAAATACCGTATTGCAAGGGGTATGTGTGCATGTGTGTATGTAGGCATGAATGCATGCTGGTAGAACAATAAACTGTAAATAAAAATATATTCACTATATATTTATATTAACTATATTAATATGATATTATTATATTAAAATATTAATATATTTATATTTTTACCTACATGATTTGTAATGTACAGCAGCATGAACCTTTCTAAAGCTATAAAAATTACTTTCACTTTGAGACTTCACAGAACAACAATTGGCAGAAACAATACCATTTATGCCAACCGAAGTCTTGCCCTTATTAAAAAAAATAAGAAGGTAGGTCTCCAAATCTGAATAATCTAAAGCAAATGACATGCCAGGTTGCCAATTTGCACATGAATTAGCACTTTGTTTTTCCTATTAAGAACTTAATGGACAGAAAAAAAAGTAAAGTGGAAAACCATTTGAAGAGCCTTTGGCCAAAGGGCACACTTTTGGATAATTTTGCCCCATCTTTATTCTGATTCCTATTTTTAACAGCATGAAGGTTCATTCAGAATCAGGATCTATGAGAGAGAAGAATTCAGAGGTCAGATGATGGAATTCACTGAAGATTGTCCAAATGTCTATGACAGATTCCGGTATCATGACATTCATTCTGTCCATGTACAAGATGGATACTGGATGTTCTATGAGGAACCCAACTACAGAGGACGTCAGTATTACTTGAAACCTGAAGAGTACAGAAGATACACTGACTGGGGTGCTACTAATCCCAGAATTGGTTCTTTCAAACGTGTTCATTACTTCCATTAAAATTTAATTTCTTCTAGTCTTTTGATGAACCAATAAATTGTATCAATTAGAACAATATAAACCTAGTTGGCTTGTTTCTTTTTATTCATTTTATTTAACATGAAGAAATATCCTTTGTCTGGAAAGACATACATTGTTTTTCAAAATGTATACAAAGAGTAAACATGTAATTCAAAGTGTTCCAATGATGACCACTGCACTCATCATCAATACTGGTTCACTCTCTTAAATATGAATTACAGAAAAATACATCTGGACACTATAATGAATTACACATGGCATGCTATAAACCCCTGTCCTCTATTTGATCCATGGAAAACAAAACTACTCATGGTACAATTAGTTTACCAGGGGAAAACAATTATTTTCTGTTCCCAAAAAGCAAAATGTTAACTCCCTGGGTCAACATTCTACTGTTTATTCCTTATAATATAAAAAATATATGAAAACATCCAACCCTTAGTTGAAGATATCTACAGCGTCTACTGAAGTCTGCAAGTTTTTCCAGTTGTAAGGAGTTCCTTAGTATGTTTAGCCTCCAAGTGAACATTTTTTCATAGTATTCTAGGTACTTTTTAGGTACTTTCGGTAACTTATTTACTTTAGGTAAATACATTCATACAAGAAAATATTTTGCCATATCCGAGGAGCTCTATGTCCCTTATTAATTTAATTAATTTAGCTGCCTTTATTTGCACCTCTTCCAGTTACAGAATTTTCGAAATGAGTGATAATTGAAAATACCTGTGTTCCTGGGAAGAGTATCACTATATAAAATAGCAATAGGACCACCAAATCTTCTGAATCTAAGATTAATCCTTTTATTCAAGCCAGAGTCCATACAACCACATTAGTTTCAGAAACATCAAATTTTAAACTGAAATTGAAAGGTGCTGTGCTTACATCTGCAAATTCTGCTGCCCACAAAATGGTATATTATAACCATACCTCCAAACAGACCACAATTAGAAAGATATTATAGTTCGTATTCATAACATTCATAAAAATATTTTCTCAACTGCGCTTAAACTACTCCTTTCTTATAAATTAACAACCTTTCATAACTCTGCCATGAGCAAAACATGAGTAACCTATTAATGTTTTGTTGGTGGTGGAGTTACAGGAGATTATTCATTTGGAAGAAAAATAGAGGTTTAAGTTAAGATTTGGGAACACATTTTTCTCTATGAATTTTATAAATATAGACGATAATGTCTTCCTCACTGTGAACTGTGTAGCCATAGACTGAACCCTGTTCAAGTTTTTAGTTTATGTTCTAAATAAGGTCCCTACTCCTTTAGTATATCAACCCTATTCCTTTTTAAAAAGACAAGTAAAGCCAAAATTTTGGGGGCTTTACTTCTCTTTTGGTATAAAGTAGTAAATGTACTGCTGTGACTAAAACAGCCATGCCACAGTTGAGAGGGATCTCAACAATATTGTCGGTATCTACCCAGGCTGCATAAGTGACAGCTGGCTCTGCCTCTCTGCACAAAGTTTACAGGAAGCTATGTACACCCCTTCCCTATCTGTAGTTCCAGTGAGTGCTGGAGAGGCAGAGAAGGGAGGGAGGACTCCCTGTGGGGAGCAGTAACTGACACTTACTGCTCTCTGCTGAGACAAGAGATTGAGAGACGAACAATCAGCAGTTACATGAGCTCTCGGTGCTAGAGCCTCACTCTGGCTCTAGGCAATGGGTAGGGTATGTTTTACTCTTTCTGCACTTAAATACAAGCTAGCTTAGAACTGGCAATGTACGCTGTTGTTAAGTATATAATCTATACAATTTACCTCCACCCCCCACTTTGTATGCTGCAGCCATGTTTTCACCCCCACATTAATCCTAAATTGCCATGCAGTTGCCCAAATGAGCATTATGACAAAATCAGCTTGTAAATTGAAGGCACGATCTTTAGCAAGGATTATATTCCGCTACATAATTTGGTGCCATCCACAAACACAGAGAAGTTCTTTTAATATCAAATTCAATTTATGACCAAATTACAATGTAATGTTGGAGTTTACTGCTTACAATGTCAGAACATCAAAATGTAAATTTTTGAGCACAACTTTCAGGCTCTGCCTCTCTGTTGTACTAACAAAGCCCCACAAATCTTCCAAAATAGCCAACATTTACTTGTTGTGCGTCATAGGCACCTCCCCATCTCACTTTTCTCAGTACAATAACCATTACTTCAGGTTCCGGTCCAAGAATTGTCAAGTGGCATGTGGGGGAGTTGTCTGCACTTATGCAAGCACCAACTGTAAGAAGGTACATTTTGAATTGGCATTTCACGGGCCTATGGACCAAGGTCAAGAATACCATATGGTATTTAAGTTTATATGCTGCTGATTAATGTCTTTATGTAGGCATATTTGTCTTTAATATACATACTGTATGTACAGTATGTATACTGTAATATATGTATGAGTAATATGAGTATGTACATAGAGAGTGTCTGTATAAAACCATGTTCATTTTCTAAATCTAAATATACTATATGCACATTTCCACTTACTGCCTAACAAAAAAATGGTAGCTCTGTTTCACATTTCAAGTATCCTATTTAAAATAAAGGTTACATTTACAGGGCTTTAGTTGTCTAAAGACATTGAGCCTTTTCCAAATATAGGTAAAATAGTGGCCATTAGAGTGTCTCTAAAATTAGAAACAATTACTTACAAAAAACAAACCTACCTTTTCGAGAACTTATGGGTTTAAGCCATCTAGTCATTCACTATGTTATGGAAAGGAAAGAGAGGAAAGTGTCCTGTAGTCCTAACACACTTCATGTCTCAGTGTGACAGGGTGACAAATACAGTACAGTGAGTGAGCTTGCCATCCTAGGACAGGAAGTGTGTTACCTGCAGGATCACCAGAAAAAAACCTATAAAGAAAATGACTGCAGCTGCCACATTTAAGGAACGGTAAGCTGTGTGTGTGTGTATGTATATGTGTATATATATATATATATACAGTATATATCTATATATCTATATATCTATATATATATAATTTTTTTTAAATTTATATTAGAGGTGCACCGAAATGAAAATTTAAAAACCGAAAAGAAACCGAAATGAAAACAATGTTGGGCCGAAACCGAAAATGTTTTTTATTTTAACTTTTTCACATTTTTGTAAATATTTGTATTTATTTTTTATAAACTTTTAAATTGTATTTATTTATTCATTTTTATTTATTTTTTTATTTTTTATTTTACTTTTAGGGGCTTCGGGAAAATATTAGGGGTCTAAACAGACCCCTGATATTTCCCTTTTAAAATAGAAAAAGAGATTGAGGAAACAGAGTCCTCTTTTTCTGCATCTCCTGATATAAATGAACAGGAATCCTCTACTGAGTGTTCCTGTTCACTCTTAACTTGAGCACATAGTATGTTTACTATATCCACAATCATGAATGAACAGGAAGTGATGTAGATCACTTCCCATTGATTGATTCATAATTGAGGACACAGTAAACATACTCTGTCCTCAATTATTTACAAACTGTCAGTGATCACTGAGTGTTTATACTCGATCTCCTTCATGACACACTGCCTCAGGAGGCTGAGCAAGCGGAGCTCAGCCTGCTGTGTCAGCACTGGCTGCCTCCGCCCACACCACTTTCCCGATCTGTGACAGGTGGCTGAGCAGGAGCAGAGGCATAACTAGATACCCCAGGGCCCCGGTGCAAGAAACCATA